GAGTGAAGAGCCTCAAGTGGTTGTCTGATACATATATTTTATGTCATGTGTGTCACAGTGGGAAAAAAGATTGGGAAATACGGTTTTAAGTGGCTGTCTTCATTTCCTGTTGTTTATAACAGAATACCTAAAAATGGGTAATTTATAAAGAAACAAAATGTATTTCTTATAGTTCTGGAAGCTGAGAATTTCAAGGTTGAGGGGCTCCTGGTGGGGACTCTCTCTCGAGTCCTGAGGCAGCAGTGCAGGGCATAGCATGGTGAGGGGCCTGAGGGTGTTAGCTTAGGTCTCTGTTCCTTTTCTTATAAAGCCACAAGTCCTACTCCTGTGAAAAAAAAAAAAAATATATATATATATATATATATACAAAAATTGACCAGGCATGGTGATGGAGGCCTGTAATCCCAGCTACTCAGGAGGTTAAGGCAGGAGAATCGCTTGAAACTGGGAGGCAGAAGATGTAGTGAGCCAAAATCGCACCATTGCACTCCAGTGGCAACAGAGTGAGACTCCATCTCCAAAAAACCAAAAAACCAAAAGCCTTGAGGTAGCAGAGCCTGGGAGCAGTTGTAGCTCTGCACAACTGAAGGGAAAGGAGCTGGGGCACCAAAGAAGCCACTGTGAGGTTAACATTGCCCCTTGGACTAAGCAGCAGCAATAGAGGGGTCTGCCCCATGTACGAGCAAGGAGTGTGAGCCTTTAGGACCCAGAGCTATGATAGTGTTCCAGGGGACTGGTGACATCAGGAAAGAATGAGGCGTTCCCTCCCCATGAAATGCCCCCAGCCGCTCTATGTCTGATTCTCACCCTGTCTCCTGGAGGTAGACTGCAATATACAATCAAAGACAGGCTAACAGGGATCCCCCAAAACAAAGATGATTCTTGAGTTGAGAATCACTAACCAACTGTGGAAATCTATCTCTGTGCAACAGACATCATCCACCCTCTTACCAAATGCAGAACTTGCACCTGAGGAAACAGACATGATAGCTGAGCTAATTAATTATCAGGGAGATGTAAGATTACCATATGCAAACCTTATGAATGATTATTTATTTATTTGAAACAGGGTCTCACTCTGTCACCTGTGCTACTGTGCAGTGGCGTGATCACAGCTCACTGCAGCCTCAACCTCCTTGGCTCAATCAAGTCTCCTGCTTTAGCCTCTCAAGTAGCCAGGACTACAGGTATGCACTACCACACCCAGATGATTTTTGTATTTTTCACAGAGACAGGGCTTTGCAATGTTTCCTAGGCTGATCATGAACTCCTGGACTCAAGCTACATGCCTGCTTCAGCCTCCCAAAGTTCTGGGACTACAGGTGTGAGCTGCTGCAGCCAGTCATGAATGACTTCTATTTGGGAGGTTAATTTAAAATTTGATAATTTAAAACATTCAACATATAGGCTGAAGAGTCATAGAATGGACTGCCAAAGAGAAAATGCATGAGTTATAAAATCAAGCCAAGGAAACTTCCAGAATGTAACTAAGATTGTTATGTTTTTAGATATTTATTTATTTTGAGACAAAGTCTCCCTCTGTCACCCAGGCTGGAGTGCAGTGGCATGATCTTGGCTCACTGCAACCTCTGCTCCTGGGTTCAAGCGATTCTTCTGCCACAGTCTCCTGGGTAACCAGGATTACAGGCACCTGCCACCATGCCCAACTAATTTTAGAATTTTTGGTAGAGACAGGGTTTCACCATGTTGGCCAGGCTGGTCTCAAACGCCTAACCTCAAGTCATCTGCTTGCCTCTGCCTCCCAAAGTGCTGGGATTACAGGAATGACCCACTGTGCCCAGGCAGATTTTTAAAATGTAAAACAGAAGTCAAAATAATGTATAATATAAATTGGACTTAGCCAGAATTTAAATCTTTTGCTCTTCGAAAGACAATGTTATAAGAATAAAAATACAAGCTTAGACTTGGAGAAAATGTTTGCAAAACATATATCTATTAAAAGACTTGTATCCAGAATATGTAAAGAACTCTCAAAACTCAATGATAAGAAACAACTCAAAAAAATATGCAAAAGATATGAACAATTAATGAAGATATATAGATAGCAAACCAAAACAGGAAAATATACTCAATATTATTAGTTATTAGGGAAATACAAATTAAAACCATAAGAGACTTAATACCATTACATGCCTATTAGTATGACAAAAATTTGAAAGACTGACCATACCAAGTGTTGGTGAAGATGTGGGGAAACTGGAACTCTCACACACTACTAATAGGAATGTAAAATGGTGCAACTACTTTGGAAAACAGTTTTAACAGTTTCTTTAAAGTTAAACATGTACTTACAATATAATTTAGTCATTTCATTCTTAGGTTTTTATCCAAAAAATAATACATGTCATACAGAGACTTGTCTACAAACATTCACACCAACTTGACTTTTAATAGCCCAAAAGTGCAAACGTCTATAGATGTCCATATGTACATGAATAGATAAACAAATTGTGGCATATTCATACAATGGAATAACTGCTCAGCAATATAAAGGAATAAACAAGCAATAACATGAATGAATCTCAAAATAATTTCGCAAGTGAAAGACAGAAAAAAATAGTACATATTGTATCATTTCATTTATATAAAATTCTAGAAAATGTAACTAATCTATAGTGACAGAAAGCAGATCAGTGGTTATCTGGGATCAAGAATGGGAGCAACAGGCAGGATGGCAAAGAGAAATTACAAAAGACGGAGGAAACTTGTCAGAGTATTAGATATGCTCACCATCATGATTGTGGTGATGGTTTCCCAGCTACAGACATTGTCAAAACTTATCAAATAGTATTCTTTAAATATATACAGCTGGCTGGGCGCAGTGGCTCATGCCTGTAATCCCAGCACTTTGGGAAGCAGAGGTGGGTGGATTACCTGAGGTCAGGAGTTCAAGACCAGCCTGGCCAACATGGTGAAATCTCATCTCTACTAAAAATACAAAAATTAGCTGGGCATCATGATGGGCACCTGTAATCCCAGCTACTCAGAAGGCTGAGGCAGGACAATCACTTGCACTCAGGAGGCAGAGGTTGCAGTGAGCTGAGATTGCGCCACTGCACCCCAGTCGGGGCGACAGAGTGAGACTCTGTCTCAAAAAGAAAAATGTACAACTTATTGTACATCAGTTATACCTTAATAAGGCTATTACTATGTAAGAGCGTGTGTGTGTGTGTGAGTGTGTGTGTGTGTGAGAGAGAGAGAGAGACAGAGAGAGACAGAGAGAGACAGAGAGAGACAGAGAGAGAGAGAATCCATCTCAATTTTATGTGGCTTCTGACTCTTTTCTCTGCTCACCTATTGCCCCAGTTTGCAGAGCCATGACATACACCGAGACAGATCTGGGGTGATCCTGGCTCCACGCTCATCCTGGCTGTGTACCCTTTGGTAAGTGATTTACACTTTCAGAGCCTTCATTTTTTTCCTTCAAAATGGAGTAGTGGTTAGGATTAAATCAGTGAATGTCAAATGCCTTTCACATAGTAGGTTCTTGAAAACTTTAGTCCACCAATCACCCCAGAAATCAAATGAGCCATATTTATGATTGCCTCAAAGGCAGTAGCTTTATTTTTAGCTAAAGACACCATCACGCATGCACCGTGAGTCCAAAGGTCCAAGGGGAAAGATGTTGAAATGCGGAGCACTGCCCTGCAGGCCCATCTGCTCTGCATTAGCCAGCCTTCCTCTGTTTATTATTCCATGTGTTAAATCTCCTCCGATTCTTGTGTGAAAAGTTCGGGCGCACAATAACCTCTTTATCACATTTCCAGATTCTGGGCCTGTTCTGGAAAGTTTACACCTTTCTCTTGTTTTCATTGTTTTCATGTGGATTCGGATTCCTGAAAAAGGCATTTGGAGCACTTCGCTGAAAACATTATGTGTAAGCTTGATGAGACAAATATTGCCAAACAGTGAAAATGAGATGTCAGAGGAATTAGAACCACACCACGTGGGCCGTGTATCGTTCTCTGGCTGTGGCTGTGTGAGGAGAATCTGAGGCTCGGGGTGGTGGCTGAGAGCCTGTGGCTGGGCAATACTCTTAGCCTCTCTCCTTTGGGGAAGAAATTAAATAATACTGAAAAGAATAACAGAAACATGCCAATGTTGGAGTAGAGAATAAAAAGGTCACATAACTCTGTAAAAGTGAATAATTATAACAGCATTGCTTACCATTCATTGAGTGTTATTTGTGTACCAGACTTCACTAAGTACTATTTTATTTAAACCTCACAACAAGCCTGTGAGTTAGGTGTAGAATAAGCAAGGATTCTTTTAGCCATAGTGACAGAAAATCCACCTCAAACTGGCTTACAACATAAAGAACTTTTTATTGAGTATGTGAATTAAAAGTGCAGATTTAGTTCTAGCTTCAAGTGAGGCTTGATCCAGCAGCTCCAGAAGATATTTTTAAAAACCCAGACTCTCTTCCTCCCCTCTCTGCCTTCTTACTAGCTTTCTCTTTGGGCTTCATGCAGTCAGTTCAGAAGGTGCAGGTTTCCTATGGTGGTGAAATGACTGCAGCTGTTCCAGACCTCACATCCTTACAGAGAAAGAGAGAATAAACCCCAAAATTCACTCTCATTGGTCCCAAATGAGTCATGTGTCCATTTTTAAACAGACAGCTGTGGTGGGGAGGAGGAGGTGAGTAAGAAAGGTTGATTATATTAAATCTTCAGAGTGGGGGCTGAAGAGGTAGTCCATACCCAGTAACTAGACCTCAGTCCCATCCCAACCAAAGCCCCCGGCTGAGAAATGGGGAGAGGTAGCATCCCAAGGGAAAAGAGGGAAAGGGTTAATTACAAAAGTGAAAATGGATGGTGGGCACACATCCACTGAATGTCCACTATAGTGTACTCATTTTTATTTAAAATTTGTCAAACACCGTTTAGGGGCTGGAGATACACCAGGGAATAATAAGCAAAAATTTTGGCCAGGTGTGATGGTTCATACCTGTAATCCCAGCACTTTGGGAGGCCGAGGTGGGTGGATCACAAGGTCAAGTGTTCAAGATCAGCCTGACCAACATGGTGAAACCCCATCTCTACTAAAAATACAAAAATTAGCCACGCATGGTGGCATGCGCCTATAATGCCAGCTACTCAGGAGGCTAGGAGGCTGAAGCAGGAGAATTGCTTGAGCCCAAGAATTGGAGTTTACAGTGAGCTGAGATTGCGCCACTGCACTACAGCCTGGGCAACAGAGTGAGACTCCATCTCATTTAAAAAAAAAAAAAAAAAAAAAGGAAGCAAAAATCTCTACAGTAGATTCTGCTAGTACTGCCACTGCATGTCCCTTGATACACCTGCAACTGTGTTGGACAGTTCCTACACACAGGAACTGTGTCTACCTCTGTGCTTCTCCGCCAGAAGGCTTTCTCTGCACTTGGCAAGCTTGCTCAGCCCACGCACAGGTCAGCCTGGATGTGCCAGAGGTTTAAGCCTCCCTACATCCAACAATGGCAGGAGTTGGGGACAATACTCCAGTTTTTCTATCTCCAGGTAGGAAATGTATGAGAATTTCAGTTCAACAGGGCTTCTCAGAGGATCTCCAAAGAATTGTTCGCAGCAGTAATAAGTTTACTAATGCCTCCTTTATTGATTTTCCTTTCTTCTCGGTTTTTCCCCAATTCCCTTTCTTGTATCCTTCAGAATCATCTTCCAAATGAACGACCAACACCAAATCCGTCTCAAGGGTCTTTTCAGTGGAACTCAAACTCAGACCATCACTGCTTTAGGGGCTTCCATTCTGGTGGTAGGAGGAGATGAATAATAAAATAAATGAGCAAACTATGTGATGTTATATTAAGAGAGGTGTGGTACAGGAATCAAAGTACAGAAGGGGATAGAGTGATGGGGTGGGCATGGGTGCAATCTCAAGGCCTTGAGGAAAAGATTACATGTAAGTCAAGACCTAAAGAAGATGTAAGGTTACGCCGTGTTAACAGTCAGGCTAGGCTGTATTATGTTAAGACAACAAGCAACTCCCAGACAATAATGGCTTAAACAACAGAGGTTTATTTCTCACTGAAACCACATGTCAGCTGGGATATTGCTCCACATGCATTCATTTAGTTACCAGCTGAAGAAACAAAGCTGGTTATCATGAAAGACAGAAAAAAAGAATTCTAGAAAGTCTCATTTCATCAAGTAGAACTTCAGCCCTTATAAGTATTATAAGTTCTCAAAACTCATTGTCTAAAACTGGTCGTGTGGCCAGGCACAGCGGCTCACGCCTGTAATCTCAGTACTTGTGGAAGTTGATGTGGGTGGATCACCTGAGGTCAAGAGTTTGAGATGAGCCTGGCCAACAAGGAAAAACACTGTCTCTACTAAAAATACAAAAATTAGCCAGGTTTGCTGGCACAGGTCTGTAACCCCAGCTACTCGGGAGGCTGAGGCACAAGAACTGCTTGAACCCAGGAGGGAGAGGCTGCAGTGAACTAAGATCGTGCCACTGCACTCCAGCCTGGGCGACAGAGTAAGACTCTGTCTCAAAAAAAAAAAAAAAGTAAAAAACAAAATAAAAACTGGTCATGTGGCCCCACCAATCACAAATGATGAAGGAGGTACAACTTACAAAGCATCTGGTTGGCAGAGAGCTGAAAATAATCCACACCTCTGCTCACCAAATATTCTGTCAAAATACACACACCGTCTCCCTAAGTGGGGAAAAACAATCATATCAAACTCAAAGTCCATGAAGGATAATTTGTCTCCACATCAGGTTTGGTTATAATTTATCTTGATCCAGAGATCTATAAACTAAAAAAACAAGTTATCTGAACCCAACATGCAAGACACCAGGTCTGGGTCTCAAAAAAGAAACTGACAAGGCAGACTAAAAGGCAAAAACAGTTTGAGGAAATAGAATAAGCTCAGAACTAGACAAATGTCACATGTTCTTACCCGTATGTGGGAGCTTAAAAAGTATATTTCAATATGAAGTATAGGAAGATAGAGAGTAGATCAGTAGTTACCAGAGTGTGGGAAGGAGAGAGGGGGCATACAGAGAGGTTGATTAATAGGTACAAATATACAGTTTGATAGAAGAACTAAGACCTCATGTTTGATAGATAATTAGGGTGACTATAGTTTGCAATAAACTTATTGCATATTTCAAAATAGCTAGAAGAAGCCAGGTGTGGTGGCTCATGCCTATCATCCCAACATTTTGGGAGGTCAAGGCAGAAGGATTGCTTGAGCCTAAGAGTTCGAGACCAGCCTGGGCAACATAGCGAAACTCTGTCTCTACCAAAAAATTTCGTAAAAAGTAGCCAGGCATGGTGGTATGCACCTGCAATCTCGGCTACTTAGGAGGCTGAGGTGGGAGGCTCACTTGAGCCTGGTAGTTCGAGGCTGCAGTAAGATATGTTACACCACTGCAATCTAACCTGGGTGACAGAGTGAGACACCACCTGTAAAAAAATGTTTCATTTTTTTTAATTGCTAGAAGAGAATAAATGTTTCTAGCATAAAGAAAATACAAATATTTAAGATGACTTTGTTTGAGGCTTAGGTACCAGCTTGGTCACAGTTTGGTAGAGCGCCAAGTGGGCTGGTAGGGTTCCTGATTCCAGGCCTTGGCTCTTGTATGGTAATTCTGGACCTGCCCTGAGCCAGAGGGGAGCGCACTGCCCTGAAGGGAGAGTCCCGGGTCTAGAAGTATTCACTACAAGCTGAGTGAAGAGCCTTTGAGTCTCGAGTGAACATCAGCAGTAGCCAGGCAGTACTCACCTGGGACAACACCGGCCTTAAGAAGAGACTCATCTACTGTAGAAAGGGGAGGGAAGAGTGGGAAGGAAGTCATCTTGTAGCTTGGGTGCAAGCTCAGCCATAGTAGAATAGAGCACCAGATAGATGCCTGAAGTTTCCAACACCAGGCCCCAGCTCCCAGGTGACATCTCTGGACCCACCTGGGAACAGGGGAAATGTGCTTCCCTGCAGAGAAGAACACAAGCCTGGTTGACTTTGCCACCTGTTAATGGTATAGCCCTAGGGTCTTGCACAAACATAGGTGGTAGCCAGGCGGCGGTTACTGAGGGCCTTAGGTGAGACCCAGTGCTGTGCTGGCTTCAGGCCTGGCCAGCATAGTCCCAGTGGTGGTAACCACAGAGGTGCTTATGTCATCCCACCCCCAGCTCCAGACAGCTCAGCAGAGAGAGATTCCATTTGTTTGGGAGAAAGTAAGGGAAGAGAACAAGAGTCTCTGCCTGGTAATCCAGTGAATTTTTCCAGATCTCATCTAAGAACACCAAGGCAGTACCTCTACAAGTCTGCAAGAGCCACAGCATTACTGGGCTTGGGGTGCTCCCTCATGCAGATCTGGCTGTTGTGACCAAAAACTTAGATCACAACACCCAAGTCCCTCTGAATACCTTGGAAGTTGTCTGAAGAAGGATGAGTACAAACAAGTCTGGACTTCAAAGACTACAATAAACACTCAACTCTTCAATGCCCAGACACCAACGAACTCCACAAGCATCAAGACCATTCAGGAAAACATTACTCCACCATTTGAGCTAAATAAGGCACCAGCGACCAAAGTGACAGAAATAGGTGATCTTTCATACAGAGAATACAAACAATTGCTGTTTGGAGGAAACTCAACGAAATTCATGATAATACAGGAAAGGAATTCAAAATCCTATCAGATAAATTTAACAAAGAAATTGAAACAAAAAGAATCAAGCAGAAATTCTAGAGTTGAAAAGTATAAGGAACATACTGAAGAATAATATATCAGAGTCTGTCTATCTCTGTCTTTTTTTTTTTTTTTTTTTCCAGATGGGGTCTCACTCTATCACCCAGGCTAGAGTGCAGTGGTGCAATCTTGGCTCACTGCAACATTTACCTCCTTGGCTCAAGCGATCCTCCTACTTCAGCCTCCTGAGTAGTTGGGACCACAGGCACACACCACTACGCTTGGTTAATTTTTTGTATTTTTGGCAGAGACAGGGCTTTACCATATTGCCCAGGCTGGTCTTGAACTCATAAACTCAAGTGATCTACCTGCCTTGACTTCCCAAAGTGCTGGGATTACAGATGTGAGCCACAGTACCCAGCCTCTCAGAGTCTCTCAACAGCAGAATTGATCAAGCAGAATAAAGAATTATTGAGCTTGAAGATAAGCTATTTAAAAATACACAGTCATAGGAGACAAAATAAAAATCATGAAAAAGAATAACGTATGCTTTGAAGATCTAGAAAATAGCCTCCTAAGGGAAAATCTAAGATTTATTAGCCTTAAAGAGGTGGTAGAGAGGGAACAATAGGGATAGAAACTTTATTCAAAGGGATAATAACAGAGAACTCCCCAACCCTAGAGAAAGATATCAATATTCAAGTACAAGAACATTATAGAACACCAAGCAGATTTAATCCAAATAAGACTACCTCGAGACCTGAAAGAAAAGAATGTTAATAAGCAATAAGAAATCATCTGAAGGCACAAAATTCACTGGGAATAGTAACTCCATAGAAAAGCACAGAATAGGCTGGGTATGGTGGCTCACACCTATAATCCTAGCACTTTGGGAGGCTG